CATATTTAACATTTCCCCATCTCTTACAAGTTGTTATAAATTGATTTTTGAGTAAAACATCTATCGAAACAGATTTTCATTTAATGAGAAATGACAAAATATAAAATAGAGAAATCGATATTCATAAAGCTTGTAGCAACTGCTTGGAGATGGCCAAATAAGTATCAAAATTATTATTAAATGATTGAAGAACCGAATGGTTGAATGAAATGTTCAATGAGATCAGTTACTGTTCCATATTTTTATCCACGATATGCTAGGGATTGCAGCTTGTAGCGCTCCACGTTTTTACGAGTCAGACGATCCATTCTATTCTCTCTCAAAGGGCTTGGCACTCTTCTGGCAAAATCCTTAAGAACAACATCTGTTTCGGTTAGTTAATTCAAAACTCACGTCTTCGATAAAGTTAGCGTCATCGCTACGATTTCTGAACACATAGTAAAGAGAGAAGCACAGCGCTGCCATTTCACAGAGAATTACACCGGAGAAGATGAGAACGGCTACGGAGAATCCAATACGGAGAGCAATGCTTATTCTGTAAATCTGTTATAATGAGATGACCTACTAAACCATGTATGACCTATAATGACACCCATCACATCGAAGGTCACAAGAACGCGGTGGGTCTTGACGAAATGCTCGAAAATCCGAGCAGCCAGCATTGCCTATTAATTGAGTGTTCATATAATTGATAGAAGCCGAAACTAACCACAACATCTGAAAGCCAATTGCAAGTGGTCAAGTGCTTCTTGCACTACGCCAGCGCCTTGGTAATAGTGCTGTACCATATAGTTCAGCGCATCAGATAACTCAACATCAATCTACAACGAGAAACTTACAAAAACATCATTGTAAATTTTAAAACCGAATCTCTCTTATAACTCAAATAAGCAATACAACTAATGTTGATGGTGATTAGAATAAGTAGAGAGATGCTATAAATTATTGAGAGTAGACGAGAGCCTTCTGTTACTCCACAGCAGCCTGGAAAATTAATAACATATTCAGACTGTCGAAAAATATGAATACCGAAGAAGGAAGTCAAAATCATGAAACTTCCTAAAATGATCATGATATAACTGAACATGAACAAAGTGGGGGCTTCCCAGAATGCTTCACCAACAGCTTGACGATAACTGAAATTTCATGTTCAATATAATTTCATTGTTTGCAGATCCTATCACCGTTCACTGAGAAAATCGCGAAAGCGGCTATCGGTTCTGAGATAAATTCCGAGAGCCATCAGTATAGCACCAACAATAAGATGAACAATGTTTGCAGCAAAGATACCATAACGTAAGAAAGGCAGACAGCTCCAATTTCTAAATCATATTAAGATATAGACAATATTTTTTATAAAAGTATTACTTCATGCGAATAGGAGCAAAGTCGGGATCCGTGTGCTCAACTCTCAGATGAGGAGGCAGCTGTAAATACTGCGGCGGAAAATTGTACGACATTTTTTGGCAGTTACCTAAAAAAATGGATTAAAATAACTTGGAAAGGAGGACAGTTGACAAGAATCGTCACACAGAAAAATAGAGGGGGAGGGGTGAGTAATAAAAAGATCACAAGGACAGACGCAATATTAAAGAAGAAAGAGACAGATGAGTAACAAAGAAAGTAGTAACAGTCTGGGATACAATGAATGTAAACAATAAAAAGTTTGATTCGTTCAATCGATTTTTGCAGACAAGGAATGATAGTAGAACGCTTAGTCAGAGCGCGATATTACATATGATTTCTTGCTTGGTCACCTGGTTACAAGGTACAGCCGCACAACAGCGCGCTCTTCAGCTGCTATTCACCAGCGAGAAGGCATGTTTGCTCAACGACCTTGCAAGGTTTCAGCTTGACGCTCACTATCTGTCACCAGAATATATACATATATCGATCTGTAAGAAGACGCACGGAGAGATAGAGAGAGAGAGTACGGGTCAGCTCCTCCCACAGCTTATCGCGGACCACCTTTTATACGACAATACATCAAAAACAATTTTTGTCATGCTGAGGCAAATTGAAGAGATTATTGAATGAACATGTGGCTCTAATCGATTCAAATTTTCCATCAAACTATGCAGGTGCAAGAAACTGATTAACCTATTGACCGTTGAGGTAAACAAATCGCACGAATAAATATATTGTTCAGCATATATATAGTAAACAGAGAAATATAAGCCAATGTATGATGAAATGTGCATATAGCTTATATGACATGAAATTTGAATATGACAAATGAGAAAAATGTGCGATTTATCCATCTTAAGTAGCATTGACCGCACATTATTTCTATCTGTTCAAATGGAAATATAAAGTAAAATTAATAGAGCGTATTCATTTAATGAATACAATTCACAAACTAATCTATTCATTTTTGCAAAAAATTATGAAAAAAAACTAATTTGAATAGCCGATGAAGAGTTACGAGAGAGAGAGAGACAAAGAGAGACAGAGAGAGAGGGAGATACAGGGAAAGAGAGAGAGAGAGAATTAGAGAAAAAAAAGAATTTTCATGAACATATAATAAACTATATTGTTTTTCTTCATTTAATATTTTTTTGAATGAAGTATGATGAAGAAAAATAAGTTTCAAACGAGGCGGTTCGTTGTAGGACCATTAAACAAATTGCGTATGTGGTTGTAGAGTTATGACAAAACCAACAACTACGTCCTTTCATGAGAGCATTTTATTTGAAAT